ATTTGCATATTCAGAAAACTTGTAATACAAGAAACAATTGTCTTATTGTAGGTAATTAACTAGAGAAATTTCTAGCTGATATCTTTAAGTTAAAAAAATTACCCTATTCACCTGGGGTGTCTCGCCTTAAGTGGGAGAACTTGCACAATTGGTGCCTGACTAAATACTTTTTTTCCCCACTGTAGGCCTATATATATTTAAAAAAAAAAAAAAAAAAAAAGATTATTTTATTTTTTAAACACCTTGAATTTCAGGGGGGGCGCAGGGCTCCGTTGGCGGGGCGCAGGGCTCCGTTGGCGGGGCGCAGCTCTTGACTGCCATCTTTTCCTCTAGTAATTTTTCATTATTGTCGCTTACCTCTGATTGTAGCTGATTCTGGAGCTGTGCCGCTCTGAGGAGACTGCGGACCCCCAGATCATTCAGCCTCATCTTGACCGGATGCAGAGCCTCAGAACTCTGTGGAATGTGGAGGTGAGCTAAACCTTTAGCCAACATCAACTATCCAAATATATTTTGTGTGTTGAGGTTTTACTTTCCTTTATATCATTTGCATTGAGGATAATGATCTGTAGCAATGAGGTGCTTTTCTTGAGTGTGGTGTTCTATCATTAATTACCAATCTTTCTTGCAGACTGATAATGCAGACATATCTGACTCGCATTTCATGGGCCTTGTCCAAAACCTGGTGAGAAATCCGGAGGATAGGAGAAACTTCTTCCAGGTAAGTACCTGGGATTTTTTTGTAAATGTATTTTTAGAATGTTTTAAAACTTAAATCAGTTATAGAATATGCAAACTCCTTTGAGAAATAGCTGTGTCCCAAGCTTGCTTAATGTGGATCAGTTCTTCTCATTGTGGTGACAAGTATGTCTTTCTCTTCCAGGATGTTTTCCCTGGAGACTTTGGCCCAACATACGACAAAGCAATCCAGACCCTGATGTGGCTCTTTCTGTCCCGACTTGAAAAGCTCCTTCCCACCCAAACTCTCCAACAGGTAGACGTCAATTAAAAACTAGGTGGAAATATGCTGTGCGTGGTAAACTCTGTGCGTTACATTCCTACCCTCTAGACATTATGCTTCACAGAGGACTTTGTTCGTTTTTGTGCTTCGTAACTACCAAAATGTTGGTTTTTGTTTTGCTTACTTACTCATAACGGGGCATTGTAAATAACTTAAACGGGTCATGATATTTCTGTTGCTTTCAACTAAATTTGACCTAACAATAAGACATTTCAGGACTGTTGCCTTACATTCTTTTTCATGTTGGCTTTGTCAGATTGCGTCTCTGCTCAGCGATGCCTCTTCTGTTCTGAATGAATGCATGGATACTTTCGCTCAACCTCAGGAGCTCAAAAGCTTGCTGGACACTCAGAAAGACCTTGGACAGTTGGAGGACATTGGTGAGCTTCTCACAATTTCAACTAGCCTATTCACAGAATATTATTGATACTCAATCACGGTCTGGTTTGATTGGCATTTTAATGATTAATGATATCTCTTCTTTTCAGAGTCTTGCATAGTTGACAGTGGCATCTTGTCAGCCCTATGTCTGCCTCCTGTGGAACGAGTTGTGATTGTCAACGAGCAAACGGAAACAGATGTTGAGAGCGGGCTCATGTATACAGTGAGCCAAGAGATGGAGGTTGAATCTGAGAGCATGGAGGGAACTGTGAACTCTGAGTGTGTGCAAACACAGTGGTTTGGTCTCGGCAGCGAGGTGAAGGCAGAAATGGACTCTGTGGTGGTTACAGATCGTTTGGATGGCACGGAGGCCAGTGAGAGTGAAATGGCAGAAGAACCGTCTGGAACACTCATGATAGGGGAGGACGGCCAGGTGACGGTGCTCAACAGCGTGGAGAAGAAGCCAAATAGACGTGGGAGGAAAAAGAAATGTCCTGAAGATAAAGACTTTCAGGTGCAAAGCAAAATGAGGGGCAAACTTGATCCGGAATTTGACGTTTTGTTGGAGAGACCGGTGCGAAAGAACCGTGGACTCAAGATGAAAAGGTACCTGTCCCAGTGGAGGAAATCCGGAAAGACACAGAGCAGCAATGCGATTAACAGCAGCCCTAAAAGGTTTGCAACCAAAAGCAATGACCTGGATGAGAGGACGTGCAAAGTGTGCGGCAAGGTGGTGACTCGTGCCAAGTTCTTAGAGCGTCACATGAATCGACACTCAGATGAGCTGCCTTTTTCTTGTCCTGTGTGTAAAAGGTTTTATAAGAGCTTGCGTTACTTGCAGCAGCATAAATGTCCAAATCAGACAAAAGCAAAGGAACAAGAGACTGCAGCAGACGAGGGTGAACAATCGTCCAGTGGGCTTCCTCGTGAGGCAGCCAACCAAGAGCTGCCGTCAGACAACACAGGACAAGTGGAACAGAAAAGCCCAGATGTAAACAAAAGCGTGCTGGAAGGTCCGTTCTACTGTCCTCACTGCAGTGTGGAGTTTAAGTGCAAACAAACATTTAGGTTCCATTTAAGAAACATTTGCTACAATGAGCAGCAGGTGGATCCTGAGCAGCCTGAGGATGTTAAGCATTGTTTCAGGTGTGATGAATGTGACAAGGCCTTCAAGTACAAGTCCACATTGGATTCCCACAAACAAACTCACAACCCGCTCTACTGCGAGGTGTGCATGAAACTGGTACGGGACCCTGAGGCATTGGCAATGCACAAAGAATCCCACACTCCATTTCAGTGTAACCAGTGTGAGGAGAATTTCCCTGTGTTCAAGGCCCTGCATAAGCACTATATCGACGTCCATAATCCCATCGAGCCTTTTACCTGCACCCACTGTCAGACAACATTTGCTAGTCTAAAGCGTTTCATCAGACACGAGTGGAAACACACTGGTTACCAACCATTTCAGTGTCCTCATTGCACCAAAAGATTCAGATCGTATTCTGACCTTGTGGAGCACCAGAAAAAGCACACTAAAGCGTATCCATTCCTCTGCTGGGAATGTGGCAAGAAATTCAGGCACGGTGTGACATTGACGAGGCACGTGGAGCGTGTGCATCACTCTGGAGAACCTGTGACGGAAAAACCAATGCCAATCTTCACCTGCGCTCAGTGCGGGAAGACCTTCACGTCCAGAAGATGCCTCCTGAAGCATGACAACTTCCATCACAAAGGGTTGCGTTTCCCATGTGAGCACTGTGGAAAGGGATTCTTTGGCAAGGATGCCTTGGTGAGGCATACTTTGATTCACACAGGGGAAAGGCCTTTCAAGTGCGACGACTGTGACAAGTCTTTCAGATCTGCTGCAGAATTAAAGATACACAGGAGATACCATACTGGGGAACGGCCATTTAAGTGCAACGTGTGTGAAAAAGGTTTTGTCCAATCCTGTTTTCTTACCTTACACATGCGAACCCATACTGGAGAAAGACCATATGTATGTGCAGTATGTAACAAGGGCTTTTCAAGCTTGCATGGCTTAAAACGTCACAGGAGACTTGTTCATGCGTAGGCCATAAGACATAGGGATTTTCTGTTTAATGTTTCCCCATTTAAGGAGATCAGCATCAGATGTAGACCAGAACTTGAGGAACTGTTAAGGATTTAACCTTGCTTATGGGCATTTGGTGTGGAAGGGAAATTGGGACTGGGTTTTCCAGTTGAAGGACTTTTTGTTTAAAATATCAGCCGCGTCATTGTCTGGCTGTCACAGCTTGGATTGTTGGAAGCTGTGTAATTGTATAGTGCATTATAAAAATGTAGCTTTGTATTTTTTACACAAAACTTTGCTGTAGTTCTACATAAGATTTGTATGTATAAAAGATATAAACCGTGATTCCCTTGAGGGATTTATTTCTTTTTCTTAAATAAATTGAATATTTGATTGTAAAGTGTCATTTAATTTAGATTAGATTTGTTTGCACATAAATCTGCCAATGACGTCATACATCAAACGTCACAGTGGGTTAATCCCTCTGATAAGTGAATTCATATCATCTTATACATTAACTCCAAAATGTATAAAATACCCAAAAGCTTAGATGTATATAAATACAGATAAAATCAACATAATGAATGAAATGATGTCTTCATATAGTCAGTTGTGATTTAACATTTAGTTGTGTTCATTCATCAGTTAGAGGCTCTAAACCAGTGGTTCTCAACTGGTCAGGCCTCGGGACCCACGAAATTTTGAACCACTCAAATCTATTCAACAAAAAATCCTGCAGTAATATATACGCTTTGCAGCATACAATATTAATTAAAGTGAAGTACAGTGCATATATCCCTTATATCCGTTAACAGAACAAAATAATGCTTTTAAATAAGGTTTAATGAGATGATGGAATCAAAGCTGAACTGTATAACATAAAAAGGCACACGTGCTGAAAACCTAACCCCAGAAGGGGATCTGGGGAGATTCTCCCCCAGGAGATTTTTTGAAATACTAACATATAAACTACCCATTCTGGTACACTTTGAGAAGAAAATAAATAGATGTATTACGACATATTAATAATATTTTATGCCATTGTTTGTTTTTCACTTTGTTCTGACAGCTGAACTTTCTGCTCCACACAGACAGAAGAGCAAAGAGGAGATAGTCTGTGTGAAATACTTTAAATTGTGGGTAAGGGTAGATAGCCCCCATTGTTCTGTGACCTGTCAATCATCAAACCGGGGGTCATATTTCATTATGTGTTCATTTGTATCTGAAGTTGTACCCATGGATGTATGTGTACTCGCGATTGAGAAACGGCCACAGTGACAATAGAGAACCGCAGTGTCCAAAAACCCGGAAGTAAGTTAAAAATGTTAGCACTTCCGGTTCCTTTGTCAAAAAGCAATGCATGTTGTATAAAAATAACTCATCTCTCTCGTTTTATTTTTCAGCTTTGCCAAAAGCCAATGTGTCAAGTGTCCTACTTGGGTTGCCGTCCGGAGTTGTCCAATATGGCGGACCATCTCGCACATGCGCAGTACCAATCGGGCAGGGGGACA